CGATGGATAAATGAAAGGAAAGCTGGAAAGGAGGAAGAGAGCGATGCGTATTTGGATAGATGGAAGTTGGTGAAGACTCATAGAAAAGTAGACGGCTAGATGGGTAAACAGATACAAGGCTGAATGATTAGATGGATGGGTAGGTGGATAAATGGGTGGGTGAAGTGGTAAATGGAAATATTGATAAATAAATGTAGATGATGGATGGATGGATGGATGATGGATGGATGGATGGATGGATGGATGATGGATGGATGGATGGATGATGGATGGATGGATGGATGGATGGATGGATGATGGATGGATGGATGATGGATGGATGGATGGATGGATGGATGGATGGATAGATGGATGGATGACTGAATGAACGGACAGATGAATAGATAAGTGAGTGAGTTAGTGAAGACTTTAGACTCTCCTACTGGGTGGGCAGGCTAGCTCAACACTGCCATGAAAGCTTGGGGACCTGAGTTTGACCCCTATAAATCATGTATAATCATGTGTAGGTAGACAGAGAGAACTAACTCCAAAGTCATCCCCTGACCCCCACACCGTGGCATATACACTCCCCACCCGCTACCCCCGCACACACACAAAATATTAATAAATTAATTTTTTTCTATTTTCTGCTAAGCAGTAATGAGCAGGAGTTGTACTTCAGCTTTGAGCCTAGCACAAGGGCTAAGGTGGGCCTTAGTTGTAGACTGCAGATCTGTAAGGACAAGCAGTGTTCTCCTTGATTCCCTGATAGGATGGCGATTTGAGAGTCAGACAAAGGAGACGAACTGAACTGAACCTGGAGATAATGAATCTGAGAAAGGTGCCATTCCCAACACACACACACACATACACACTCACCTCGGCTACCACCGTATCTGTCCCCACTCTTGAGAACTTCCAGCCCAGGCTGAGGGACATGTCTGTGAAGGAGAAAGATGGCCAAGTCTGAGCAACTCACAGAGGAGGGAAAGCTTTTCCCTCAACCCAGGGTAACCGGAAGTGGTGGTTCCTATCCTCATTTTAACCCCAGGTCAGCCCTTGGACTGTGCTGTGGTCCAGCTGGTGTTGCCTGGGCCCCTCCAAGCCCTGGTGAGGCTGACACGCTCTCTTGTGCTTCTACAGAAGGACTTCACCGTGCGTGAGGAGCTGCAGCAGCAGGATGTGGAGCGCTGGCTGGGCTTCATCACCTTCCTGTGTGAGGTGTTCGGCACCATGCGGAGCAGCACTGGCGAACCCTTCCGAGTGCTGGTGTGCCCCATCTACACGTGCCTCAGGGAGGTAAGAGCAGAGGCCTTGGTACTACCCTGCCCACCTGTCGATATTTACAGAAGCCCTGCCTATATACACTGGAGAAAAACGCAGGAGCGCAATGGAGTTGGGTTATGGATAGAAGGATGGATTCTTTGTAAAGGAGACAGACGATGCCTCCAGGCTTCTACTCTGTGCATTAAGAAATAAGCCTTAACTCAGACTTCAGTAATTCCTAATCTGGAATTTGGTAGAAGAGGTTTATGGTGTTATAGCGTTGGATGGATCTTTGGACTTAGTTGGTTTGCTGCTGATTTGTTTTTAATGTTTTTGCTTCTAAAATTTATTTTAAGTAATAAACAGGGGATGGTGTGATAGCTCAGCGGATAAGAGCACTTACTGCTCTAGAAAATACAAGTTTAGTTCCAAGCACCCAGGTTGGGCAGTTCATGATCACATGTAACTCCAGTGGCCTGCGCCCTCTTGTGGCCTCTCTGGGCATTGCCATTGAGCGATGCACATAAATCCATCATACATGTAAGAATAAAAGTTTTTAAAATAGTAAATAAAAGAGGCCAAGAGACATTGGTGATGGGAGTTTGGGGTGTTTGCTCTTTTACATATAAAAGCTCACTCTGTAAGGTCACCTGTGGCTGGTTGGGAGATAGAAGTAGACAGTGGGAGGCTGGCTGGAAGCCAGGTGTCAGGGAACCATCCCAGCTCCCACTAGGAGGGAGCAAGCTGAGGGTGGGGCTCTAGCAACCTTAAGAGCAGCAGCCATCAAGATTGGCTGATAGGGGATGGAAGTGAGGAGAATGTGATGGAACTCCTGTTTACCATCCACATGGCCGCATGCCCTGGGATGTGAGTCTCAGGACAAGAATCGTGGTGGGAATGAGAACCAGGAAAAGAGGTCTCTGGACATATATGTGGGTCACTTGTTGACTCTCCTCAAAGGCTGCCAAAGGATGGTTGACAGAAGGACCTAAAGTACCACACGGGATCCCATGGGGAATAAGGAAACTACTCTGTCAGGCGTCTATGGACACCTGAGGCTCAATGCTAGAGACAAGTAGTATCACCCAGCAAGAGGGAACAAACAGGGAGATGGTACAGTCACAGGTAGAAGAGAGAGGAGGAGGAGCCAGGAGGGAGGAGGTAAGTCTGCATTTGATGCATCCAGAAAGCTCCAGAAGAGTAAGTGAAAAGCATCCCAGCATCCTTCAGTAGGAGCTGGTACTAACCTTGACTCTACTATACCTGTCCTCTCCTTCCCTGGCAGCCCTTTGCTGCCACCAAGACACAGGGAATGGGTGGAGAACCAAAGGTCCTAGGCAGAAAAATGACAAGAACGGGGGGGGGGGTCCTGGGGCTCTGGCAGAGAGACCAGCAGTGTGGGCAGATTCTTTAGAGCATTTTCTGGAAAAAGCTATGGAGAAAATGGACTAGAGGAAAAAATCAGAGTCAAGAGGCATGCTTGTTTGTTTTGTTTTTTAAAATAGGCTATAGAAAGCAATGTGAGCAAAATGAGGATGTGCTTATATTTGGGGAGCATTCCTTTGTAGGATGGTGGTGTGCTCATCTCATCCGAAAGCAGAGCACACATACCCCTCTAGTCACTTTTGAATCCACAGCGCTGAGCCGCCCTATGCCGGTAGTCTCTGTTTCTTTTTGAATATGCTTGACTTTAGAGATGTCTCACTCATTCAGTTCATGGCCTCTCCTGACTTGATTTTACTCCTCGGGGCCTCAGTTCAATGTGCAGTGCCAAGAGGACCACCAGCAGCTTGGCCCTTTGCATTCCTTCAGAATGTGTCCCTCTCAGAGGCTCACTCCTGTCCACATGGCCGTGTGCCCCTATGAGCCGCCTCAACATAAGGGACAATAACCTGAGGCTGTGACCTGAATTTCCCAATTCCTTCTGCATGATCTGGGCCCCTCCTCTTGGCGTTATCACCTGCTCCTCCAGCAGGAAGCAGGGCTGTAGGGAGTGCTGGCCCTGGTTGCTGGGAGTTTTTTTCACACCACCTAAGGTAGTGCAAACTTTGTGGTGTGAGATCCGGAAGGTGCCAAGAGGTCTGCACAGGCAGGGAGCAGTGAGGCTTTCCTCATGCACACTTGTTGAATGAATTAAGCTTTGTGGGGGGTGGGGGGAACATTTTGACACCTACAGAATCATGTTGTGCTCATAGTCAACTTGAGTAGTAAGCCATCTATGTCTTTTGGCATTTTGTCCAAGAAGAAATCAGAGAGCCACCATTGGGGTCCAGCTACTCACTGCCTGCATTCACGTTCACCAGGTTTTAGCTGTACCCCCTTGGGGAAGACAGAGAGAGACTGCTCTGGGCTTTTCTCAATTGCAAAAAAAAAAAAAGGTCTCACAGCACTTTGAGTGAGATGGAAAACTTGATTTTGGTCCGTGGTTTTTAGAAGGTTCAGTCCATGATCATCTGGCTCTGGCTCTGTTGTTTTCATCCCTGTGGAGAGCCAGAAACATCATGGAGGAAGGGCATGAACAAGGAAAGCTGCTCACCTTGTGGTAGCCAGGAAGCAAATAAAGTAAGAAACAGGAAGGGGCCAAGACAGAGACACGCGTGTGCGTGTGTTCGTGTGTGCCTCCTTGCCTCCCTGTTGACGTCTTATGTTTGCTTAATATGTTCTTTTCAACTCATTTTCTTTGGATGGGAGATGGCACCATGGGAAAAGCACTTGCCATGCAAATTCAAGGACTGGAGTTCAGGTTCCTCACACCCATCACAAAGCAGATGTGGCACAGCTGTAACCAGTGCTGAGAAGGCAGAGGTGGATCCCTGGGGCCAGCTGGTTAGCTAGGCTAGCCAAGTCCACAAGCTCTGGGTTTAGCAAGAGATCCTGCCTCAGTTAACAAGGTGGGACGTGGCCAAGAAAGACTCCCAACACCGACCCTGACCTCCGCATACATCCTCACATGCATGTGAACACACACATACATGCATGGATGACACACTTATATACACTCACAAGCAAAGAGAAAATCTTTAATGTCATAATGCTAACATTTACAGGAGATCTTCCCTCTTAACAGCTTCTTAGGTATAAATATGGCAGTGTTTTCTATAGAGAGAGCACAGAGCAGATCTCTAGAGCTCATTTGTCTACCTGACTGCAGCATTTGTACCCACTGGTAAACAAACAGCTCCCACTCCACATTCCCCCAGCCTTTGGAAACAGTCTGTTCTCTGACTCTGTCAATTCGACTGTCTTAGATACCTGGTGAATTAGCATGGTTTCTGTTCCTATCACACCAGATGTTGAGTGTTTTGTCTAAAGAAAGAGGAAGATTTATTTAGCTTACAAGGCTACAATTCCAAACTCCATGGTACCAGCTCCTGCAACTCTGTCACAACATGGTGGGAGGCATCATGACAAAGCACATGAGATCACAGAATGATGACAGGAAGCCAGAGGGTAATGCAGAGGCCAGAGGTCAGAGGTCAGGCCTGTTCTTTTTATAACAACTGGAAAACTTACTCTACAGTGTTCACCCCTTTAGGAGATAGTGGATCCCCCACACACACAAAAAAAGTGATCTGATTTCTTCTCATTATATCTTCCCTTCTGAAAGGTTTTATGCCAACTCCCAATACTGCCACACTAGAGCCCATACTTCTAGCACATAAATTCTTAGAGGGCAAACCCCTCCAAACCATAGCACCCCTAATACAGGTGGAACCACAAGGTAATCACTCTCTTTGGCTGGCTTGTTTGACTTAGCACGATGTCCTTCAGGCTCATCCACATTGCTGGTATTGAGGGATTTGCCCTTTCTAGCACTGGATACTCAAGTCTGCATGCACACCATGTGTTCTACACTCATGCACTGATGGCCAGTTCAGTCGTTTTTCACAGTGTGGTTCTTGAGGATACTACTTCGGTGAACATCGGAGTGAGTGCAGAAATGCCTAGAGACCATGATTTTGGCTCATCTGAATAAATCCAGGAATCAGTGGCCATTTGGAATCTGCTGAGGATCCTGGGCACAGCTCTCTACAGCCTTATTTTACATTCCCACAAACATCATACAGGGGTTTCCAGTTTGCTGTAGCCTTACCAGGAATTGCTGTCTCTGTTTTGTGATAATGGGTATTAATTAATGACTGTTTGAATTGGCATTTCCCTAATGACTGGTGTTGAACATCTCATATACCTGCCAACCATCTGCTTGACTTCTTGGATGAAATGTCTATTCAAACCCTTCACCTACTTTCTGGCTCTGTCCCTAGGTTTTCTGCCATTGAGTCCTAGAAATGCTGTAGGCAAGTGGTTCTCAACCTGTGGGTCGCAACCTCTTCTAAGACAACCAGAAAACATTATGATTCGTAACAGTAGAAAAATTATAGTTCTGAAGTAGCAATGAAAATGGTTTTATTGGGCTGGTGAGATAGCTCAGTGATTAAGAGCACCAACTGCTCTTCTGGAGGTCATGAGTTCAAATCCCAGCAACCACATGATGGCTCACAACCATCCATAATGAGATCTGATGACCTCATATGGGGTGTCTGAAGACAGCTTCAGTGTACTTACATATAATAAATAAATAAACAAATAACCTTTGTCCCAGAGGAAGCGGGGGCCGGAACGAGCAGGGCCCAGAGCAAGAGAGAGAAGGGAAGGGGAAAAAAATAAAAAACAATTTAAAAAATTAAAAAATAATAAAATAAAATAGTTTTATGGTTGGGGGTCAGTAGAGCATGAAGAACTGTATTAAAGGGTCACAGCATCAGGAAGATTGAGAGGCACTGCGTTGGATGTTTTGGGGATTGCCGCCTTACTTGATATCTGGTTTATAATATCCCCTCCCACTCCATGGACTTTCACTCTGTGGATCATTTCCTTTCCTGCATAGACGGGTTTGGGGTTGACATAGTCTACTCGGCTGGTTTTGCTTCACGGCCTGTACGTTTAGTTACGTCCCAAACCCGCTGCCGGGTCAATGTCCAGCATCTCTTCACCATGTTTTCCAATAGTTTTATGGCTCCAGAGCCTTGCTT